ATCTCATCCCCTTTGTCATAAACCCCCCCCCCCCCTTGTCATAAAGAGCCGAAACCTCTATGTATATTTTGGGCGCATAGAAAAACTGGAAGAGATATCAAAAAACGGGCAACAGTTCCACATTTTCACCAGTTTTCTTGACCACGTACCATCCGAAATACCAATATGCAAGCTGTCAATATATATACGTCACCTTGGAAAATGAAAAATCCTGTGCTTTTTACAAAGCAAAGTTGAACTTTTTTCGTTGGAAACTGTTTAAAATATAGTCTCAAAACAGCCCATTACATAAAAATTGATTGATCTATTCAAGTTTTAGGAAAAATTATTTTCAGACATTTTCACCATTTTTTTGGGGTTTTGTAATAAATCTAGAATAACTTCGCTCCTGGATAAGATTTCGAGCTGAAAATGATAGGAATTACTTCGGCAGTAGTCTGAACTTTTGCAGTAGTCTGTTGTTATGCTATTCTGAGCCGTTGTTTGTAATTGAAGCTGAACTGAAATTTGATTTTTTTTTTGAAAAATTGTGATTCTGATTTTCGTAAAAACCCTTGATTTTACGATTGAAACTTAATTTTTAGTACAAAATAACAATTTTGATAGCAATTTTACACACCTAGAACATCTTTCAAACATTTTAGACAGCTTTGAAAATTTTTTAATTGGGTATATTTTTTCAGTTCAAAGCTCGAGCTCAATTTCCAGTTCCCAGAGCTCAAAAAAGTCTTGAACGCTGGCACAATGATCATGATCATTCCTTTAATATTTTTTACACGGATTACACGGAATAGAAAGAGGCATCGTTACGTCGTTAGAAGAGATGCACGGATTCCGGATTCCGAGAAAAATATTTGTGTCCGAATTCCGGATTCCGAGAGATTCCGAGAGGATTTGTCCGGATTCCGGGAGATATGTTTTATTCCGGATTTTGAGCTTATGTGTTAATTTGAAAGAATCTCTGACTTTTTTGAACTTCCTAACAATGCAAAATTAAAGAACGAAAAATTTGTTTCATTCCGTATTTCGGATTCAGTGAAATCTTCATTTGCCTTATCGAATATAAGAGTTCTGAATCAGTTTATAAAAATTTGAATCAATACAAAATTGCCCCCCCTATTCTCATCGCCCCCCCCCCCCTTGTCATAAGGAGCCGAGGTTTCGTATAGATATTGACCGCACTGTATGTACTCCCGTTATGCCCACATGGTTTTTTTCCTGGAGGCATACTCATCACACAAAATGACAAATGACTTCTGCGTCCCTCTTCCTTGTGCGTTCTCTCTATCCAGGTGGGGTTCGAAAATCAATAAGACACTTAGCAATACAAAAACCGTCTTCAATCATTCATTCGTCATTCCATTCTCTTATTGTTTCTCGCTTTCTTTTTTTCGTCATTTTTTTTCTGATCGACATATCATATTGAATTTTCAGAAACAATAATGTCTACCGCATGTCTCGATTTGCAGTTTGTGATTAGATACATTTCTGATAGAATCGGCAATTATGACAAGCCAGAATGTCTGCTCCAGTGGTGCAAAGAAGTACTGCGCGAGAAACGGACCCACAAGATGTTCTATTCGGGTCTTATGAGTATCAAGTAAGAGTTGTCATCTTCATATCAATAAAAGTTATTCTTCATATTAACTTTATAGTTCATACTAACTTCATAGTAGCAATTCCAATAAGAAAAGTTATTATCAATTTTCAGGGTATCGCAAAAACTCAACAGAGTCGAGACGTTGGAAGGCTTTTCGCTAATGGAGAAACTACAGCTGGTCTTTATCTTCAGCCGACCAGTCAGTGACGAATTTGTGCAAATGTGAGTTGGTTGTGAGACTAGAAAATCAATAAAAACATTTTGCAGGCTGAAAGAAGCCAAATTTCAAATCGAACAAGACGGAGATAATAAGATCAGCCGCTTTTCAACAGAGGATGGAAGTGTTGTTCGATCATCCGATCACCACCCATCTGTAAAGTATTTCAAAGGAGTCCTCTGTCTCAACACTCCATTGCAGAACCCAGCTTCAGAAGTCCCACAAATCAAGGAGAAACCGAAATCAATCAGAGCAAAACTAGAAGAAACGGATGCGGAAATCAAACGAGAACCAATTGAGTATGATTGAGTAATTGAGTAATTGAATATAATAAAGTTTTTTTCAGCAAAAAGATGGCACAAGAGAAAGAGCAGAAAGATGTGGAAAATGATATCCCAAGCCCAGCGGTTCGAAAGATCAAGGAGGAACCAATTGAGAATGTACCAATTGAACCAAAACAGGAAGAAAAGTGTGCGAAAGCCAAAGAAGAGCCAATTGGAAATATAACAATGAAGCAGGAGCCAAAGCAGGAAGTAGATGAGTTTATGGCCATTGGTCAAGATTTTCGACAAACCGCATTCAACGGACGTATCAATTATGATGAGCTAGATGAGCAGGAGTTTGTCCATCCAGGATTCCCACAAAATTCAAAACCGGACACGGCTAGACCACAGAAAAGGCGCCAAAGTTCAACAAAAGTCAGCGCAAAGCTCGTGAAAACAGAACACGTAGAAGAAGATGCTACATCCTCGGATACTATCGCAACGTCATTCAATCAGAAGCTTGTGAAAGTTGAAAAAGCCGAGAAGACCCCTACTTCGTCAGCGAAAACTTCCGTTCAGTTAAGCAATCGAAAATGTCACATATCAACTATTCCGAAAAAATCGGTCGCAGCCTCATCGGATTCTATTGATATGTCAGGCAATCAGAAGCTTGTAAACGCTGAAGTATCAGTGGAAACGTCATCAAATTCTTCATCAACTCTTGATGCTTCGTCTTTGGTGGAAACAAAGAACGCTTCTCCACAGCCACCGCCTCCAGAAGTCAAGTCAACGGCCATGGCTCCAGATGAGCCAAAAATTAGTGTCATGTCTATTGGAACTCACATTGAAACAATCGCAGAGTACTATGAACTCGAGAGTCTTAAAGAGAAAGCTTCGCGAGGTATTGAAAAAATTAAATGTTCCGGAGAAGACAAGGTTTATAGATTCACAGTGATGGCGTAATTTTATAATTATTTTTTTCAGACTCTCCCCTTTAAAAAATTCTGTTCCATGATCGTCGGTTTGTTGATTTGTATTGAAGAAAACCTAATCCGTCAAACCGAAACGTCAATTCCTCTAAAATCAATTCTCAAGCACCTTCAGCTCTACCTGATTCGCCCACTTGGATCAGAAGAAACTTTGGAATTGATTTCACAAAAACTCCTAGAATTCAAAAATAGTGCTGACGGGGTAGGGTAGTTTTTTGGAAAGATTTGAGAATCTAATTGCTGAAATTTCAGGTCCCACCAAATCTACTCTCCGAATGTCTAACCAATTTATTGATTTCCACGGGATTCTATGATCAGCTGAATTAATCTGTTTTTCGTCATCAAGTTTCGTTGAAATTTTTTCTTTTGGATTTTTATGCCCTTTTCTTTCAAAACTGTTTTTTCTTGGTTCATTTTTCTTACTCCCAGCTTTTTCAAAATCTTTGACTTTTGTTTTTTTTGTTCACATTTTTCCAACCTTTTTTATTTTCGAATGTTTCAATGTTCCGTTTCATTATTGTTATCTGCAAGCAACTTTCTATGAACTATTTTATCTAAAACTGTTTTGCTCTATGCTTTATTTTTATTCAATATTAAATTAGATGCTCTGTTACTGTAGTTGTTCAAACAAGCCATTTCTTCTGGACACATGTAGAGATCGACGGAGTTGACTGTCATTTTCAGACAAACTGAAACGAATCAAGAAATACATTGTTTTTCTCAGAATTCAACCTCCTTCATCCTTGGCACAAGTTTAGCCTTCCAGATTCCAGTTTCCAGATTCCAGATTCCAGATTCCAGATTCCAGATTCCAGATTCCAGATTCCAGATTCCAGATTCCAGTTTCCAGATTCCAGATTCCAGATTCCAGTTTCCAGATTCCAGATTCCAGTTTCCAGATTCCAGATTCCAGATTCCAGATTCCAGATTCCAGATTCCAGATTCCAGATTCCAGATTCCAGATTCCAGATTCCAGATTCCAGATTCCAGATTCCAGATTCCAGACTCCAGATTCCAGATTCCAGATTCCAGATTCCAGATTCCAGATTCCAGACTCCAGATTCCAGATTCCAGATTCCAGACTCCAGATTCCAGATTCCAGATTCCAGATTCCAGATTCCAGATTCCAGATTCCAGATTCCAGATTCCAGATTCGTTTATTAGCTACTTGCCAATTTCCGAAATGACACCGTTTTTATCCCGGTTTTGTTCTAAAAACGTGAAAAAACAGGTGTCCTTCAGAAATCGTCGAATAGCTGAAAAACTAGGAATTTTCGAAAAATTCTGTGAATGCAAAGTTTTCAATCTAGGTTTGTTTTACACAATTCAAAGTTTTCAATGTGATCGGAAAATTGATAGCCGACCTCTTGACTCAAAAAAATTTTCGGAATTGTCGAAAATCCACTGAAAAGTACTATGAATAAACTGGTATAAACTGTATTATTAAAAACCGACATTATGCTTTATACAACCGTTATATTCGACTCAAAGTTTAGGCGCTTAGGCTCAACATGCAAATTATTCCATGCTGAACAAACAGTAATTCGAATTTATTTTTATTTCCTCTCATTGTCCAAAAAAATGGTTTGTGTGGGTAAAAAAAAAACGATTGAATTAATAAACAAATTTTCGAAATATGGAGCATGATTCGTACGGTAAAATACACACAGTACCGGTCAATAAGATATACAAAAAAACTCATTTCTTAGTTAATGTTTGGCCATTTTGACTATTTTCAAAAGTCTGGAGCTTGGCTGTCAAGTTTCCGGTCATTTTGAATATTTTAGAAGGTGTAAAACAAGCTTAGATTGAAATCTTGGCATTCACAGGAATTTTTTTTCCAATTTCCAGTTTTTCAGATATTTACCGATTTCCGAAGGAAACTCTTTTTTACCAGTTTTTGGCATCTTGGCCCAGTTTAATGGAAACCCTTGTTTTTTTTTTCAAAGCTCAAAATTAAAAATTAAACGATTTTGGAGCACTTTAACAACTTTCAAAAAAATAGATATAAAATTTTGTTATTTTGAAATTCTTCTATTTTCCCCACCAAAAATAAATATATACTTCGACCCACTAATTGATATTTGTTAGTTCCCAATAACAAAATCTTGACATTTATAGCACAATTTCCCTGATTTCATTTTCTTTTCTAGGACTGCAATTCTGAATCACAACTTTTTGGTTTCCTTTAGATCAAGAATTGAAAATTATTTTCAGTTCTTCCAACTCTCTATGAGCAACGCCACTTGTAATACCAATATCTTCACACCTCCAGAATTCCTCAGCACATTTGTCCATATTCTGACCATATTTTCAACGCCAGGACATATTCTTGGGGTATACTGTATTCTGTACAAGACTCCGGAATCTATGAAAACTGTAAAATTGAGCTTATTGAATTTGCATTTATGGACAATTCTATTGGATTATTCATTGAGTTTATTTGTGATTCCATTTATTTGGTGGCCAACGATGGGAGGGATTACATTGGGAATTTTGGGGAAGATTGGAATCAGTACGGCAATTCAGTTTTATTGGATGCTCACTTTGATGGCTTGTTAGTTTTTTGGTTTCTTAAAGCAACGCGGTTATACTCAGCTCCGCCACAAGGACATAACATCAAGAATCAGAAATTCAGAAATTCAGAAATTCAGAAATTCGGAATTTCAAAAACTCGGAAATTTGGGACCTCAGAATTTCAACGATTCCGAAATTCAGAAATTCTAAATCCCAAAATTTGAAAATTGCTCAAATTTCAGTTTTTATTTTTACAGTAACCTCAATTGCAATTCTCTGGATGTTTGAGTATCGCTTTAATGTTCTATTCATCAAACCCCAAAATCTCTGGTCCAAAATCAGAAAGCCATGGCTATCTCTCCATTATCTGTATGCCATTTTCTATATGATTCCACCATTTTTCGATCCAGGAAACCAATTGGAAATTCTACAAGAATCCCATCGTCGGAATCCTTGTATTCCATTAAAATTGGTGGAAAATTTTGAGTTTTTTATTCTAAGTCTCAATTGGACATATTCAATCACTGTTATTGGGATTATCGTGGCCGATGTTTGTCTTGGAATTTTATTTTTTACATTTCAAATTTATTGGAAAATTTTGAAGCAAGTCAAGAGGAAAAGTATGTCAAAACGTACCTTCAATCTTCAAAAATCTCTTCTTTTTGCACTTTTTATACAAGTTATGATTCCATTGAACCTATTTTTGATACCAATTCTCTATGCTGGCTACGCGGTTGTATTTAATTATTCAAATCAAGGAATCAATAATTTAGCAATGGCGACTGGATCAACTCATGGATTGTGCTCTACTGTAACCATGCTCTTGATACATTCTCCGTATCGGAAAGCAATTTTTGGAATTTTCGAGAAACCTAAAAAAGTTATGACCGGTCCATCTTCTAATGTTTCTGTTATCAAGTTTTGAGAATAAAGGGAATGAAAATTTGTAATTTTTAATAAATATTTATTAGTTTTTTTTCTGTGAAAATGGGTTTCAGATTCCAGATTCCAGATTCCAGATTCCAGATTCCAGATTCCAGATTCCAGATTCCAGATTCCAGATTCCAGATTCCAGATTCCAGATTCCAGATTCCAGATTCCAGATTCCAGATTCCAGATTCCAGATTCCAGATACCAGATTCCAGATATTAGATTCCACATATTAGATTCCAGATTCCAGATTCCAGATTCCAAATTCCAGATTCCAGATTCCAGATTCCAGATTCCAGATTCCAGATTCCAGATTCCAGATTCCAGATTCCAGATTCCAGATTCCAGATTCCAGATTCTGAATTTCTAATCTTCGGGTAAATATTGTGAACTTTGTTTTTTATGTCTTTTAAAATATTATATTGTTTTCTGCACGTTCGGTGCACTCAAAAATGAAAATTAATTTTAAATCAATTTCAAATTAAATTTGAAATAATCAAATCAAACTTTCTTGTTTGATCTACTCCCTTTTTTCTATATTTTCAGCTATCCTAATTGCCGTGTTTATAGTATAAACAAACTGAAAATGTCAGACAAAACAAGACATTTTGGGATAGAGAGGGAAAGATAAAATTTTAATTTCAGTTGTCAGGTGATATCATTATCGATCGCATTTTTCAATTTTTTATAGGGCAAAATTGAAAAAAAACTGTCTGAATTCTAACTTTATAATTATTCAATTTCTTTGAAATTTTTTCAGATTTCCAAGCCTCGGAATTTTTTATGTTATGATTTTTTAAATGTTTTTAATTATTCGTTTTTCATTTTATACATTTCCGAATTTCAGATTCCCCCCCCCCCCCCCNCCCATTCTATGAGCAATTCCACTTGTCATAACAACATCTTCACACCTCCACAATTCCTCAGCACATTTGTCCATATGCTGACCATATTTATCAACACCTGGACATATTCTTGGGGTATACTGTATTTTGTACAAGACTCCGGAATCTATGAAAACTGTAAAATTGAGCTTATTGAATTTGCATTTATGGACAATTCTATTGGATTATTCGTTGAGTTTATTTGTGATTCCATTTATTATGTGGCCGACAATGGGAGGGATTCCACTTGGAATTTTTCAATATTTTGGGATCAGTACAAGATTTCAATTTTATTGGATGCTCACTTCTATTGGGCGTGAGTCATTCGGACTACCGCGTAGTTTATACTCTTTTTTCTACAGTAACCTCCGTCTCTATCCTCTCCATGTTTGAATATCGTTTCAATGTTCTATTCATAAAACCCCACGACTTCTGGTTTAAAGCCAGAAAACCCTGGATCATTTTCCAATACCTTTATGCTATTTTATACATGATGCCTCCGTTTTTCGATCTAGGAAACCAATTGGAAATCCTCCAAAAGTCATACAACCGAAACCCATGTATTCCACTACAATTAATTAAATCCGGCCCATTTTTTATATTAAGCTTAAATTGGATATTTTCAGTTACTAGCATTACAATCTTCACACTTAATATCTGCCTGGGAATGTTATTTTTTACCGTTCAAATTTATTGGAAAATTTTGAACCAAGTGAAACTACGGAAAATGTCGAAACGGACATTTCAACTTCAACGAATGCTTCTTTTTGCATTGTTTCTTCAAGTTATAATACCTTTGAACCTCTTTGTGGTTCCCATTGCTTATTCTGGCTACGCAGTTGTGTTTAATTACTATAATCAAGGAATCAATAATTTGGCAATGGCAACTGGATCAACTCATGGATTGTGCTCTACAATAACCATGCTTCTTATACATTCTCCGTATCGGACAGCGATTTTTGGAGTTTTTGAGAAAACCAAAAAAGTTATGACCGGTCCATCTTCCCATGTTTCTGTTATCAAATTTTAAGAAAAAATAAAACTGAAAATTAGCAGTTTTTTAATCCGTAAGGTTTTTGGTTTGTAATAAAATTTAAAATTAGGATGCCCTTCTATTACAGGTTTCGCGGTATACAGTCTTTTTAAAGACTGTTTAGTACTCAAGTTTGATGAGAACCGTTCAATCTCTCTATTTATCCGATAGTTGCTGCCCACACAGTAGTCATAAAATTCAATCCCATTGCTCTCAAGTTTTCCTTTGACGCCATATACAATAATGATACAATTACGGGACTAAACGGCAAAATCGATTTCGTTGAAATTAAATTAATATACCGTAAAACCTCTAATAGACCGACACCCAGATCGTCCACTTTGAGCCTATATATCTCATTTTCTGTGAAAGATATCAAAAAGTGGCT